AGGGTTTAGGGTTTAGGGATGTGGTCCCTCGAATCTGGCCCTTCAGCCCCAACCAACGGCCATTGCAAATTAGCCCACCTCCTCTGAACCTCACAAGCCCTGCTTGCTCAAGTGCCCTCCCCTGCTTTGCAGCCGATGGGCAGTCATGCTGTCAACAGAGGCGCGATCCAAGATCTGTCGTTCGATGGGTTTGAGAAATTTGTGCTTTGAGGGCTTGGGTCTGGGAGTTAACAAACATTTACTTCTAGCATATTCGCATGGTTATTCTGGACCAAAAAGCTTCAAGGTGACTTAATGGGTAGTCCTCTTTGAGACCCCACCAACAATCAAGCGCAGCCGCGGAATAGAGATGAACAGAGACCCCGTAGAAGAGTTTGCCATAGCCATACTCATGCCTCGATCTTTACTTGGCCCCATGCACGCTTAACAGCATTGCATGTGCCAGAATACCAAGAGCCTCAAGATATGGCAATTCTCAGCTCGGTGTCTCCACCACTCCGAGCGGCTTAAGCCTTACCATAAACTTTTTGAAGGGCCTCTGAAAGCAGAGCAGGGTGTAGATCTGTATATATGCAACGCGGATCAGCGGATCCTATAGGCAGCAGGGTCTACCGTAGCAAACCGGAAGCCTAAAGCTCATTTTCCAGCCTAGCGCTGAGGGCTTGTGGCCTATGGGTTCATGGGTGTAATCACTCGAGTCGGCCTTGGGTTGAAGTTTTAGGGCCGTTTAGGGCCCTTTAGGGTGTAGGGCCCCTTTTTCTGAAACTTTCGCATCACCTAAACCCCCACACAAAACGGAACCTCACAACGCAGTTCTCATGTAATTACCTGGAGGAGTAACCCTAAACCCTAAACCGTCAGGAGAGCATACCGCAAGAGCGCTGCTCTCCAGAAGGGCTTGCTTGGTAACCCACGTCTGCATCAAAACCAAACTCTTTGCGAACCGTCACCACAAGCACAAACAGCTCCCCGAAAGCAGGCTATTTTGCAAGGATCAGAAGCCCCTTTTTTGCAACAGGCTTTCC